CCTAAACACTGCTGTGTTTTTTTCCTTCCCCACAAGCCTGGTTAAGAGTCAGGCCCTTCCCTGCTTGAACCATTGCATCTTATTCTCCAAGCAGTGAAATGGGCTTTGGCAGCATTGACTGTTTTTGGGACACAGTGAGAATAAATTGGTGCTTGCAAGAAAGCGCTTGCTCTGGCAGTTAAAAACACCCACTAAAGATGTCTTTCAGGTGTGATTGTGTGGGGTCCCTTCCCATCCCAGCACTGTTGTTGCCTTGATGCAGTGCACACCAGATACTTAACGAACGGGCAGCCCTCCGTGGAACGATTCCCCATCAGCTTTAAAACCCACTTCTCAGGGAACTATTTTCATCATGTGGTGCTTGGGATTTACTGCAACGGCCGATACGGCTCGCTGGGCATGAGCAGACGATCAGATCTGATGGACAAACCTCTAACTTACCGAACTCTGAGCGACCTCATCTTTGAATTTGAAGACTCCTATAAAAAGTACTTGCATTCAGTCAAAAAAGTAAAAATCGGATTATACGTCCCACATGAGCCGCACAGCTTTCAGCCCATCGAGTGGAAACAGCTGGTCCTCAATGTATCCAAAATGATGCGCACAGAAGTCAGGAAGGAGCTGGAGAAGTTTGCCAGGGATATGAGGATGAAGGTAGGTCCGTGCGCCTGAGTGGTGCACTTGGAGGTGTGTGTGCCTTGTCCCATGCTGCAGAGGTTGGTCTTGCTTCATGTCAGAAGACTGACTCTGGCCTGAGATTAAGGTGGTATCGGGTGGGCTGGGGGTGTGCTTACATCTGTCTCAGTGGTTCTCCCACAGGGCTAGCTGTGTTTTCAAGCCCTTACAGCTATTTTTTAGTTCAAAGATCTCTCCTTCAGCCTGGGAAACTCTTGAACCCATACCCATCCCTGGCCATCAAGGAGCTATTGCGCAGTTTGCTTTTCTCACTGACTCCAGAAGAAGGTGGCTATGAAGAACCAATGTGCATGGGGTGGAGCTGGTGGGATGGGTGGCCTGGTCGCAGGTAGGGATCTCTGCTCTTTGCACCTGAGCTGTGAGAGGTGCCATGGGACAGCCGTGTCAGTGATTGCTTCTCCTTGGAGGGCATGCTGATGGGCTTGCCCTGCGCCACCTGATGCCCAGCACCCTTGGCTAAATCACAAAGTAGGTTACATGGAAAGGGTGAGGAAAGAAAGTCCCTGACAGGCTGGTTCTTTCCCGCTGGCTGGTTGGACTGAAGAGCCTGGAGGGAAATGAGGAGGAGATAGGGCAGGCTGCCAGGGGGCTGGAGGGTTTGCCTGCCCTTGGGGATGAGGGGTGTCCCTGACCATGCCTCTGGGGCTGGCGTGGGTGAGGAGCTGGTTGTGGTCATGACGGAAGGGAATTTGGTTCCTTTCCAGCCTGCTGCTGGCAGTAGGAGCAGAGCAGGTGTGTTGCTAAGTATGGGGCTGGCTCTTGTGGAGAGGCATGCGGCATCGCATCCAAGTTATTCTGGGTTCCCGTCTCCTGCCCTGCTGAGGAATGGCTTCTACGTAGCAGCTGCGTGCCTGTTTGGCTGAGGCACCTGTTCTCTCGCCCTGACCTTGAGGTCAGTGTTGCCAGTGGCATCGTAGCCCCTACGTCCCGCTGCCACCTCTCCCGCCCTGCCAAGGAGTTTTGAGGGCCGACTTGTACCGAACTGTCACCTTAAGCATGTGTGCTTGATTACAGATGTAATGAAGCTTTTCTCCCCCACCATCTTTTCTGTTTATGCACTTTTAATACCATCTAGAGAGGAAACAGCTGAAGCAGGCTCTAGTTGAAGAAGTCCATATGGGTGGGTGACTTACTGAACTTAGTACTTGGTTTTGATAGAGGGACCAGCTCTATGTGTGTGCTGAGCTGTGACATTGGGTCAGGATCCTCTAGGGCAGGATCACAGCCCTGAACCCTTGAAGGCTGAAGGCCCTGCATCTGATTCTTCCCTTGAGTTAGTTCAGAATTTGAGCCACTTGATTCAGAGGGTTCCCGCTGTGAGGGGGCTGACTTTGGAGGATCAGGTCTTAAAAATAGCCTGGAGTGTGAGTGTCATGCTGATGGACTTCTAAGGTTGGAGGGCCTGGGGAATGCGAGCAAGTTGGAGACCTACTGAAAACTCCCCAATCACACAGAGTTCAAATGCCAGCCTGGGTGACGACTGCATCTGTGGAGAGGAAAGCCGGAGAGGGCCATTTAGCTGCATGAGTTTCCTTCAGCTGAGGCTCGAAGCTGTTTTTCTTATCCCTTGCTCTTGCCAGTTCTGAAGAAAGCTGTGGATGAGACCTATTTAGCTGGGAACTAATTTTTGCAGGGGACCCCCGAACAGCTATCACATGATAACAGCTTTGGGTTCCTCTTAACCTGGGCAGGGTTTGAATAAGCCCCAAAGGACTAAAGGCTCTTTGTATGCTGTCCCTGCTGCTATATAAGGCCCTTTATTTTTATTTTTCATCTTCAGTGAATCATTGCCTATATTAAACGCCTTTTCCTTCCCTCCTCCATCTCTCACAGATTCTGAAACCCTCAAGTACCCATTCTCCAATGAAAGAGAGATCACGGGGTAAGTCGTTGTCCCCTCGCCGAAGGCAAGCCAGCCCTCAGAGACGCGCATGCAGAAGAGACAAATCGTGAGTATTCTTGCTGCCATCACTGGTGGGTCAGAAGTTGAGGGTGATGACGTATTATTTTGCTGTACAAAACTTACATGTGTGCACTGGCATATGTAGGAAAACTCCAGAAGCTGCCGGTACCGCTGATGCCTTGGCATTGCTGTGTTCACTGCTGCCCAATGGCCCCTCCGTGTGGTGTCCTCGGAGGCCCCGATGGCCTTTGCTTGGTTAAATTCTACAGGGTGTTGGATGACTGTGAAAGTGGAAACGTGGGTTTCACTTTTTCTTTTTTCAGTCTTTGTACAGTCCACTTTCTGGAGAAATGAACCTAGCTGGTGTGCAGGGGACCTGTGCAGGAAGGAAACTAGTTTGATGAAATTTAAGGGTGTTCAGACATAGATGTTAAAAATAGGAGGATGTATCTGCTTAGGGTGGTGGGGTGCCCTGCTGACACGATCACTGAGACAGAAATTGTATTCTCTGTGACAAGCCTTCATACAGAGCTGTTCTGATGGAGTGGTTTTTGCTGAGGGCTGTCTGACTTACAGGGATGGTGAAAAAGTAAACCTTTTCTCTTCTTGCCAAAGTGGAAACATCACCTGTATTGTATTCTTTGATTTTAATCAGCTTAAAAACACCCAGACGGCTTCCCTTGTCTGTTGTAGCTAATAGTTTTTCTTTAATTGTGAGGGGAGGGATGGGCTAACTCCATGCAGTACCTCTAAATGGAAAAAACTGAGCTTCCAGATCACAGGCCTTTTACAGCCACTGGCAATTCAGACTCCCATACCTTAGATGTGGAAGAGTTGAGTTTTAGCTGTACTGCTTCATGCCAGGAAGCTGACAACTGTGAAAGCCTATACGTAACCCGGATTAGTCACATATTTATGATCGTTGCTTTTTAAATAGGCTCCCAGACTACTGTCTCAGCACTTATTTATTTATTTTAAAGCAGCTAACAAAGACATTAGACTAACCTTCTAAAGATAACTTCAAGATACTGTAGCAGCAGATGATTTCACAGCAGGCTTTTATTTTTACATGTGAATTCACACTCAGTCCTTGATGCCGTACTTTGGACTTCATCACCGAGAGTTCCTTGTTTAGCGCATGGATAATTATAGTTGTAATGGGCCCGGCTACTCCAGGCTTTTTCGCCTCCTAGATTGACTTTGAGAGATGGTTTCATCTTTAGGTTTCTGATAGCGCTTCTGTAGTTGCTGGAGTGGATTACATATGTCTGGAGAGAAGAGTGAGTCTCGCTGGGCTTGGAGACTTGCCAGTTGGGCTGGTTTCCTAAGAGAGCTGCTGGGTATGTGGCTGCTCTGCAGTGGCTGTTTCCTCCTTGGCAGCTTTGCTTTTCCAGAACAGAAAGACAAGCGAAGTACTGGTGGCCTTGCAGTGGCTTCAGCACCTGTCACCTGCTCGGTAGTCCTGCTGTGTTGCTCTGCATCTAGAGAGAATTATACGTTATTCTAAAATAAACACTGGGCCACCATGATAGAAGATCCAAGCCCTAGCTATAGCATGATGTGGGGACCAGGAGACCACTCCACGCACGGGACTTTCATCTCTGCTTTGGTGGAAGGCATTGAAGCATCTCAAAGCAGGTGAGAGCTCTTGCAGCACATGCTTTGTGGCTGCGTGACAGCCCGGTGGGTCCTGCGCATTTCCCCTGTGAGCCTGGCCAGTACACTTGAAAGGAAAAGGGCAGTGAAGGAGCTTTTGGCAGGCCCAGGGCCCTTGAGCGGACCCAAAAGGCTGCTCTCTGTTAGAAAAGCAATGCCAGGGAGAATAACTGGGTTCCTGATGTTAAAATGATGCTTCTGTGCAATGGTGCTGGTGGCTCGAAGGCTGCCTGTGCCTTTTATCATAGAAGGATAGAATAGTTTGGGTTAGAAGGGACCTTCAAGACCATCTAGTTCCAAGGCCCCTGCCATGGGCAGGAACACCTTCCACTGGATCAGGTTGCTCAAAGCCTCAGCCACTTGGCCTCGAACACTTCCAGGATGGGGCATCCACAGCTTTTCTGGGCAACCCGTTCCAGTGCTTCACCACCCTCAGAGGGAAGAATTTCTTCCTTAGATCTAATCTCAATCTACCCCATTTCAGTTTAAAGCCATTACCTCTTGTGCTATCACTACATGCCCTTGTAAAAAGTCCCTCTCCAGCTTTCTTATAGGCCCTCTTTAGGCTCTGGAAGGCTACTAGAAGGTCTCCCTGGAGCCTTCTCTTCTCCAGGCTGAACAGCCCCAATTCTTTCAGCCTGTCTTCATAGGAGAGGTGCTCCAGCCCTCCGATCGTCTTCATGGCCCTCCTCTGGACCTGCTCCAACAGCTCCATGTCCTTTTTATGTTGGGGGCCGCAGAGCTGAACACAGTATTTCAGTTGGGGTCTCATGAGAGCACGGGGGAGAATTGCTCTTTTGCCCTGGCAGGAGTGATGCTGCAGAGGAGTGTGCTGCTGTAGGGAGTTCCCTGCTGATGATAAAACCCTTTCATTTCCAAAATTGACATCTGTTGGTTTCTGCAACAGGAGGTGCAGCGAGACCTGAAGGGGGAATGGCATCCCCTCATCAGGGATGAGCTGAATGATGCAACCAGCATGTACAGTGGTTGACGCGGGGCGAGAAATACAAGAGAGGAAATTGAGTATTTTCCTCTGCGTATTGATGGATCTCTGAGAACCTAGTTGCAGTGAGAGGCCTTTGTGTTACACGCAGAAGAGGAAAGACTTTCAGGCTTGCTAGGCTTTAGGCTGAAATCCTAGCTAAAGACTGGCCGTGCTTATCAACACTGTGTTTTGTTTCTTTGTGGATCTCTTAGTCACATGCTGTAATTACAGCTTTTTAGAGCTTTCAGGGGAGGGGGAGAGTAGTGTTTTGCTGTAGCGTGAGCTGGCAGCGGCTGAATAACACATTCATTTGAAAGGCTTCACCTGCTGATGACAAGCTGTTATTACAGCCTGGCTTCTGTCAACAATAAAATTATATGGGCCTGCTGGGAGAAATCCCCCAGTGAAAAATATGTGAACTGGAATGGTGAACCGGAATGTCTTTGCTGGATTGTTTCTGAAGGACAAAGGCTGATGCGGTGCTTAGGGACAGAAGTGGATTTCACAGCCTCAAACCTTTAACTTCTCATCCTGGTTCCGTACTAGTTTTTTGGTTAAATGCCCGTGGTGGCCGCTAGCAAGCCTCTGATAGTGTTTTAGCCTGGAAATACAGCTACAGGGCAGATAGGGTACGTTACAGGACACGGGTGGCAATGCAATAAGCAGTACGTGCCTGTCTAGGAGACCGGCGTGTCATTAAATTGCAGCTCGTTAACTGAGGTATGGAACAGTCCATGTGCTCTTAGTCCACAGCTGGTGTGATCCCGCTAAGGTTGGCCAGCAGGCAGGAGGAATAAAGAGGATATAGCGTGGTGTGAATCTGTCTGGTAAGTCTGAAGCCTTACTATGCTTGCTTGTCCATCCTCCGAAATCCTAAAGCAGGAGGGTGCAGTAAATTGCAACCCACTGTGCTGGAACAGGCAATGCAGAGCTTTGTCCTCAATAGAAGTGCTTGAAGCTGGAGGGTTTGGGAGTGTTGATATGAGTTTGGGAGGGAGCATCATGTGGCAGCCCGAAGCAATCTCTGCTCCTAAATGTCAGTTCACCAGATCTGTTTCCTTTTAATTTCATACTGAGGCTTAACACATGCATGCTCTGAGTGCCACAGCAACACTGGCCCTGTGTGCTTCTGGCCTAATTTAGCTGTTGAAAGGAAGATTCTGTTAGTCCATTACGTTAGGATGTGCAAAGGTGCAGGGTTATATTAGGATTAGCTTATATTAGGCTGTGCAAAGGTGCAGGGTTATATTAGGATTAGTTTATATTAGGCTGTGCAAAGTGAGGCAGATCCAATGCAGACAACTCATGAATACTGTGTACTCAGCAGCTATGCAAGGGTTAATTCATGTGCTTATCGTCACGGCACTTTGGACAGGAGGTGCGATCTGATGGGCCAGTACAGCAGAGGTCCCTTGCTTCAGAGGAGATGTTTGATGTCAGGTCATTTGCCAGCTAAGGTGAGTAGGAGCTGCGATGCCTCTGCTTCAACAAATCCTTGCCTTTTCCTAAAACCCTGAAGAGAAACCTTATGGAGGACAGTCTGTTTGAAGCTACAAGCTAGAGAATTGTCTGTCATGGAGTGGAAAAGGGCACGTCTCCATGGGTGTGCAGTGACTCCCCCTCTCTCTTGGATAATCAGAGAAGGTAGAACCAGCCAGGCGTACTTTAATTAAAACTGTATTCTGGCTTTAATTAAAGGGAGGGAGGAAGAAAAGGGTGGGAAGGAAAGAGGATCCCTAAATTTGATGGAGGGAGGAAAGAAGGACACTCTGGAACATACAGCGCATCTCTTGCTGGTCTCCGGCTCCTACACAAGCTCTGAGGGATGCAGCTTGTAACTTGTTTTCTGGCTCGTCAAATCTCATCTGCTCTGACAGAATAAAGTGGAAAAATCCAAACTGTCTTACAATGACTTCTTCAGGTGCGATCCCCTCCTGCAAGTGACAGAGACCAGTGAAGACTCCTTCACTTCTCTGAAGTACTTACAAACTGAGACAAACACGAGGCAAGGTGCAGGGCAGTACTGCAGGGAGGATGATGGGGTTGTTATTAATAAATAAAAATAAAAATTCACTTATTGAATCAAAGAACTCAAAAACATTTCTGAGGCTCTGCCGCACATGCGTATGTGTGTATATATGTAAGCCATACATCCCCACCTCGTCGGGCTGCAGCGGTACAGCTTTTAGGTTGGCGCCTGCACGAAGCAGCGTGCCAGAGGCTGGGCAGGGGTTTCCCTGGCTGACAGCCTGCCTGCTGCACGCTGCCTTGCCCACGGCCGCGCTGGCTGCCCGCAGCAGCTTTGGCAGAAGCAGGCAGGCAGTGTGCAAGGAGGAGGTAAGGGTCAGCCTCGCGTGGGCAAACTCACAGGTCATATCTGCTGCCCAGTGAGCAAAGAGCAAGCGCAAGAGCTGGAAACCAGGTCTGAGGAGCTGTAGGAAAGCACTGGAGCTGTTACCAGCTCCCTGCTGTACTACTTGGGCTTTAGCAGAGTTTTTGCAAGTGAAGCGGACATGCTGTAGAGTGTGCTTGGAGAAATGTGTATTTTAGACAATGTTTTTCTTTAGAAAAGCAAACATAAGGCTTAATGTGAAAACAGCTAAGAGTCTGAATTAAGCTCCCAGATTAGACACTGCCATGGACTATAAATCACCAGGACTTTCAGTTTGCCAACTTTGTTGTAGGGGCTTTTCCATTGTTTGCTATATACAGAGAGAATGGTTGCTCAATCTCAAGGTTTCATTTGGTTCAGGTTGTTGCTAACTAGAATGGTTTGAGTTGGAAGGGACCTTAAAGATCTAGTTCCAACGCCTCTGCCATGGGTAGGGACACCTTCCCCTAGATCAGGTTGCTAGGTTGCTCAAAGCCTCATCCAGCCTGGCCTTGAACACTTCCAGGGATGGGGCATCCACAACTTCTCTGGGCAACCTGTTCCACTGCCTCACCACCCTCAGAGTGAAGGATTTCTTCTTCAGACCTAATTGAAATCTCCCCTCTTTCAGTTTAAATCCATTGCCCCTTGTCCTGTCACTACACGCCCTTGTAAATAGTCCCTCGCCAGGTTCTTGTAGGCCCTCTTTAGGTACTGGAAGGCTGCTAGAAGGTCTCCCTGGAGCCTTCTCTTCTCCAGGCTGAACAACCCCAACTCTCTTAGCCTGTCTTCATAGGAGAGGTGCTCCTAACAGCATAATGACCTAACAGCATATGTGTATGTGTCATTACTTAAGTGAATGGCTGGACTGTGTCAGAATATAAGATGCCTGGAGACTGAAGGGAGTTCATCTTGTGGTTTCTATTTGGTGGGCTCTAGCCCTTTGTACAGACCTAGCCAAGAGAAAGGGGCAGGTTCAGAGAGACAACACACTGTGGCTATGTGAGAGGCTGTCTCTCTTGCCTCTTTGCTGTCAGCAGTTTCCACTTTATCCTAAAAGCCAGAGTCCTGCCCTGGGGCAGATCGCAGGTGGGATGTGTCTCATCTCAGCTACTCATTTAGGCCCTCTCTCAGCCAGAGGGAGAGAGGCGCTCCCAGGCTCAGATCACAGAGCCCAGATTGGGATGACTTGTTCTTCGCTGGCACGTGGCTTCCGAGGCGACCCACGGAGTAGCTC